TAAGCCTTTTTGCTCCTTATGTTTTCAACTTCGATCAATTCTAAATTAGGTAGGCCATCATTGGATGAGCCACGTTCAACATCTTTCAAAAGGAGACTTCTCAACGATCAAATGTGTCCAAGAGTCCTAGTTTTTTTTTTCCTTGAGTTTGAAAAAAGGGGCACAAGCTACTCAGCAAGCCTATACTACAGTAATGACTGCTGCAGAACTTTCATCGCTACTCTCTTGAATCAATCCACTCCCACCCCCTCCCTTCACCCAAACAGGCTTTAGAAAGTTCAGAAGAATAGTTTCACTTACTTTGTGATAAAACAGCGCTCGACGTCAATTTTAACAAGCAAATCCAAGCGGAGAGGTGGTGAGAAGCAAATTTTTCAGCTAATGGAACACCCTGAACAATTGTGGAGATAGACCAAAACATAGAGGGACAAGCTGTATAATCAGTTTTTGAACTTCAGACCTTCAGTATAGGATAGATATCAATCAAGAACTCATTAGCATGTTCAGCTCCCCATTCGCAGAGCGAATACAGAGCTTCGGCGGTATTCTCCCGAATCTCCTCAATGACACCACGAAGCTGAACCAAGATAAGTAAATGTAAACAAAGTTCTATTTCAAGTCAACTCTCTAATCAAAGACAGTACTAACCAGATTCTGGTGCCGAGGACCTCCAAGGCCATTTACGTGAGGTTGTGAGAGCATATGGAACTCGCTGGTCACGTTGAAACTCGCTTGCAATTCTTGAATCAAATAACTTACAAGTTTTGAAGTTGTCATTCTGTCTACATAAGTTACCAATTGCTAATTATGAATTTGAAAGTTTACGTTAGTCTAAATATCCATGAAAAAATTTCCATATCTGCGTTTATTTTACCAAAGTTGTAACACTTCATAATCATCAGTGATTGCAATTAAGCTGCATTACCATCAAAGTTAGCTACAAAATAGAACACCGAAAAGATGATGTTTCATATGTCGCCCATTTTCCTATGTTGGTAAGACCCTTGAGATCAATGTGCCAGATATCACTCTTACGTAAAGTTTGGGGAGATAAGAGTCTGCCTTATCCCTTAAGTAAACGCTCAAACGAAAGTTTTACGTAATTGCTATGTAGTCCAAGTTTCAAAAATCTAGGTTAAATTTATAAGCCTAATTAAAGAAACGCAATTGGAACAAATCCGTGCTTTTTGACTATCTGTAGCAAGCCTTCGGTTATCCCATAAAAATGCGTTAAAGTAAATGATAGATATTTAGTCACTGCGCTAGAAACACTACATCCAAACTTGGACGAAACAAGCATAGAAAAATCGGAAATGATAAAATTTTTCACAATGACAGTATTTGCGTCCGCCACATGGTGTCGCTGATGTCGTGATGTGTCAGAAAAACAAGCTTACGTAGTAAATGCTGGAAAAGTGTTCGCTGTACGAAGTTCTGCTCAATAAATTCTCGCAGGCCTTCATGTGCTGATTCTTTGTCCCATTCAAGCATAGTTCTCAGAAGTAGGGCAAGAAGTCGATGAACATCATAATAACAAACCACAGCAATAAGACCGCGACTCAAACAGTCAAAGTGTATTTTCTGACTTTCTCCTGGAATGAATGACATTTGTATTCGAAGATGAAGACAATATCACATACCAGAGAGCACAAGTTCAAGTGCATCCATCTCGCTAAGATTGAAGATGTCGCTGATGATGATTGTTTCATCGCAGACTGACTGATCTATGGCCACTTTCACACCGTCTATAGGAATTTCTGCGTTGGCTTTAAGCTTAACTCGTTCGCTGGGAGATTTACCCTATAAACTCGATCATCGTCTTCGGTATGTATCCTTTGAAGGTTCAAAGCCCTCTGCTTTCATTCTACTTTAATGTTTCGACAAAAAATACGTGACACATACAGTCAGTCTTTTCTGGTGGATAGACCCACAGCTGTCATTTTACTCTTAACAATGAATCTGCTTAGTGGGCCGAGGTGAAGAAGCAGCAAAGGCAGGACTAGCAAGCGTCGCGTGCTCGCGCAGCTGTTGGCAATATATAAAATAAAATATGGTTTAATTTAAGAGAGACAAACTGGTGCATCAACCCCTCTCCCCTCCACTCTTGGCCAAGTGAAGAATAAATGCGAATCATTTAAGAAGGAAGAAAACAATCTTGTGATCTATTCCTAGGTCCTTCGCCAAATAAACGAACAGAAGATGGATGATGATGCACATTTCAAACGCATCACTATAAGTTTTTCTATATAAGTGTATTGAAGAGTTCCCTACTCGTTAACTATTAAATCACAGACATCAAATCCAATTTTGGTAAAGGATAGGTGAGCTTGTTACAACGGGAGTTTTCAGGTCCAGTCATCAAAGGATGCCGGCGATGAGAATCTCGTGCAAACATTTCCAACCACCCTCGCAACAAATAAATTTATTTCTGAAAACGAAAAATACAGAGACTCTTAGTACCTCTAATATTGTGGTTCTTTTTTGAGGAAAGAAGTTATAAGCTGTTCTATAGAGGAGACGCGATCGGATTGGTTAAGGATGATAAAGACTTTCATATCACTAATATAGTTTCTTCCCTCTCGCCCTACTAACGACGAGCCCTCTCACGAAAAGTGCGACAAGTTTGACAGGACCCCTTTCGTCTAGGAAGGCTCGTGCTCACTTGATCGCGCAAATGATCAATCAAAAAAGATTATACATGCGCAGCATATGACTGTAGACAATAAAACGTGAAATCATTGATTTATCATACATTAAAACAAAGCAAATGTGATAACAACTGTGCTTTTTCCGCGATATGCCCAGCTAACAAAAAATCATTGTCCGTCGGGTCCGGACAATTTAACCGGAATAGATTGTGTTTTTGAATAAGAAAAAAAAATGTGGAACACAAATATACAAATGCAGACAGTTTATTTTGGAATAGATTAAAGACGTTCTTAGGACCAAAAGATTTATTTGATGCATGACTTCCTAAAAAAATTCATTACCTCTCAAAATACTGTGATTTTGCTTCGCTGCTAAGAAAACTGCATAATTTTAATTTAAAAATATTGGAGAATATGATTGGTCTAATTGGAATAACGTCTTCTGTTTTGTCCCCTAAAACCAATAATAAGTGAATACTTGTTGAGAGCCCTAGTGCGTTAACTCTTGGCGCTACATAATAAGTGGACGCTTGAAAAAAATTTAGCCAAAACGGAAAAACCAAACATTATCAGCGCCATTAATTAACAAGTCCTTCAATCCCATTCTAAAACAAAGCAAAGGTGCATCGCATTACAATCTAACCTGGTTGTATTGTCCGGGCCCGACGGATAATGGTTTGTAGCCAACTACACGTGAAAAACAGTAAGTATGTAATATTAGAAGGTTACATTTCGTAGAAAGTGCAAAGAAGCAGAAGATTCCTTCTTTACATATCTAATTTAATCACCATTTTTAGTTAACTACATAGAGCTGATAAAACATACTTGATTTAGAAT